GCATATGTTCCCCTGGCACACCACAACCTCCTCCCAGCACAAGGAGCTATTTTTAAGCATTGCCCCATACTCCCTGCACCCATTAAACACACACACAGAGTAAGACATGAAGTCTGAACAAAAATAAGCTCATGCAATTATATCAGCCCGGCCATGCCACAACGTTTGTTGTGGAGATGGGGCATTTACTAGAAAAGTTGTTATTTTTAAGTACCTAGCCTCCAGAAGACGTCAGCATTTCAGATCCTTGGTTACAGAGCTGATAACAGTTGCATATCCCTAACCACAAGCCTATTTTCATCCCTCACGGAGACCACAGAAGGGCCTGCAAGCCTTATGCAAACTCCAAAGGAGAAATAAAAAGGCTGCGCCTCCCCTCTTACAAATGAAGCCTGCTTCGACAGCCTTCACGGCCATGAGGCACAAATCTGCGCATCCTCCCGTCCCTACACAGTCCCTGGGTACCAGTTACAGACACACATAAACCCCGTCCATTTGTGATTGCTGCCTCTTCCACTTGGCAGGGCTGTCCCTCTGTGGTCCAGTCCAAGGCTCTGTTGTTGTTGCTCCAACCTGGTGGAACTGGTTGCTGGTGAGGCTGAGGAGAGCCCTGTCAGAACCTGTCCTTAGAAAAGCTTATGAACTGGCCCTTTCCTAGTAGTCATTTGCCTGAATCTGCTGGGCTGGACACCCGTTTCTGTATTTTGCTGAAGGTTCTGCTGTTTGGCCTCTTCAATGACTGTAGTGAATTCAGTTGTTTACTTGTTCTTAGCATTTGCATTATCTTAAGTTGCTTTTGCTTTGATGTTCTTCATTGTGAGAACATTAGGGTAAAAATTAATAAAAATAATTTCTGTCCAGGACAACATGCCTCAGCCCACCTAACATCCAACACTGACTGTGAATGTTATTGTGAAAAGGGGGAGAGAAAGCACTTATGGGAACTACGGTCACTGAGTACAAAGCCCCTTGAAAGACAACTCCTTCTACATTCCACTGCAGCTATACAACAGGTGCATTGCTCTGCCTGCCCACAGTGCACATAACCTCTCTGAAACATCAGTCAGGCAAGGGCTCTTCTACTACCCATCTGTTACTCAGCAATGGTTCCACTGATCCCCTTCCAAACATCTCAAGGCCCATACAGACATGGCCTCAGATTGTGTGTCTGCCCCTGATGCCAACTGGCAGTCCACCCCTAAAGCTTTGGTTTGGGCCATAATGCCATCTCCATGGACCCCTGCACGTCTGGACAGGTTGTACCACCCTGCAACTGACTCCTCGATTCGTTATCAATCACCTCTGCTTTCTTAGTTCTGTACTGCTTGCTCTTTTTTAATGTTTAGTGTGCTTGTAATTAGGGAATTACTTTAATAAAACTATTGAATTTATTCTTCGGATCTGGAGTTTTCCTACTGTGCCGGACTTCGGTATACAAGTGGTGTGCGATTCCTGTACCCCTCTGGCCTATCCTGCCACACAGCTAACTTCCCCAAACAGTGAGGGAACAGCAGAGGTGGACAGGAAGCGCAAAAACAACCTCACAAGCAAGCGCAGCCACACCCCACACCCACATAAATCCACTGCCCAGAACATCAAGAGTCGAAGGGAATCAGGCTTTCCTAAAGAACAAGAACAAAACATCTCATGGGTCAGCCTCTAGCTGCTTCTTGGACTAAGGGACTCATGATGCCATCCAGTCATTGGAAGACAGCTAATGTTTCCGCCCCTCTTACAAACCACATGCCAGGTCACTCGTCTGGCATCATCGGAAGTCTACCGCTGTTGAAAGATGCAGAAGCAGAATGGGGGGGGGGGGGGAAAGGGGGGAGGGAAAGGGGGAAGGTGCCTTCTCGCTTTGAGAAACTGCCAGATCTGGGTGCAAAATAGCTCCTTCACACTGGCTGGCTAGCAGAGCCAGAGCTTTGTACCATTTATACTTGTTCTTTCTTTTTAGGAGTCCAATTAACTTGGACATACTGATGCCTGCAGAGTGAATCTTTGCAGGGAGCAACTTGTAGTCATTAGGCAATGAAGAGGTGGGAGGGCACAGGAGGTCCAGCATACAAGCCCACCCCTGCAAACCTCTTGGCCCCTCAGGTCACTGGACCTGCAGGAACACCATGGGGCCCACTGGCAAGAGTCAGCCTCCCCCCCCCCCAAATCCGTGAACGGAAAGGAAGGTTAGGATCCAAGGCACTGCCATTCAGGAGTATGCTTTCTAGAATTTTAGTCCTTTACAAATGGTTTATATAAGGCCATTCTGTTGCCAGCGGAGCAGGTACAACATCATGGAACTCCCATGAAGAGGGAAAGGGTCTGGGTCAGCAGATGGCAGTTTCACGGGTCCAAGGAGAAAGCGAAGCTGGCAGGGGAAGATGCTTGGCCCAGAAATGGAAAGGGCTCTGTGGGTATGAACAGAAGTGCCGGGCAAAGGAACTGGAGGCTGCACAACTGTGGACCAAGCATGGAAGTGTCAACTGGCCAGCTGTGTCTGCGTCTGTGGCCAGCGTAGGGCCACAAACCATTGCATCACGTGGATGATGCACCCCTCCCTGGTTCATGAGATGTTATGGGTGGGTAAAAGGCAGGGAATGATGCCATCATGACCACCAGCGGCCCCACCTCAAAAGCAAATGGTGGGCAGCACCACCAGACCGCCTCTGTGTCAGGAGGAGACCACCTGGGTGGGCTGCACAGTGAACACACGCAATGTGCCTTGGGCTGCCAGGGGAGCTGCCCTGAGCCCATTCGCGGGGAGGGCGGGGTATAAATATCATAAAAATAAAATAAATAAAATAAAAATCTGAACAGCCGCTGCTTTAAAATGCTCCTCCTCACCTGATGCTGAACGGCCACACGCCTGTCAAGCAGGGCTCTCCCGAGTCTGACCACTGCTCTCTCTTCCACACTGACAATTAGCAGCCCACCAATGGGGCCATAGAGCCAGATCACAAGAAAGGAGTCGTTCCTTGTGATTCCAGGTGTAGCTTGTTGGAAATTTGTGCATTTTAATTAATACTGAGGACATGTCAATACTCCCCCAAACTGAGTGAAACTGATTATGATTATTATTTCAAGTTACAAAACAAAATTAAAACAATCTTTGAAGTTCCTGCAGCGAGTGGGAGCCAGGAAGGAGAGGAAGTATGCTCCAGCTGGTCTGTGGTGCCATGGCCCTTTGGAGACCTGGAGTCCGTAGGATCATAGGTCTAACACCCTTTGAAAACAGTGGCCCTTTAAAACTGGGGTGTGCTGAAAATAACTAGTGGGGGGCCCGGTCTACCACCCATTGAAAGAGCGGCATTTTAACGTTCAAAGATCCAATGCACCACATATAGAACAGCAGGGAAACCTACCGATATTCCACATATTTCTGATATTTATTGGGAATGAAATGCCAGAACCAAAAAAACCCCACAGCTGGCAAATGTCTTAGTGCCCTGGCCGGTTCCTGTACCCAGTCATTGCAAGTAGATCGGCTTAACTTGGATGGTTCTAGATCTCTGCATTTGCTCTGACACAAACATGCCCTGCCTGCACATGGCAGCTCGGGACAAGAGATCTTGCATCACAGGCTATGGGGCAAAATGTACCTGCCACTGGACGGGAGGTGGGGGGAAATCTCAGTCTAGCATGGGCCACGGAAGACCAGCGGAGGGGGGGAGTGCTTCATCCATGCACTCCCCTGCCATTTGTCAGCTCAGGCAGCTAATTTCCTTTCCATCTGGAGGGAACGAGGCTTTTAAGTCAGCTTATGAGTTTTATAGCAAAAACATTAAGGGAATTAGTTATTGCTTGTGTTATTGTACAGTAGAAGCAAAAAGCTGCCAATATCATGGGATATGTGAGCAGAGATGAGAGACAGGATGCATTGACCAAGGTGCCCAGCCAAGCCTCCCTTGTTATAGATGCCTGGGATCACAGAGCAAAATTAGTAGCCACGATAGATTAACCTGTTAAAATTGCTGAACTCTGTTTACACATCCCTAATGCTACATTTTCACAACCCTCTTGGCAACTCATCAGACTGCTTTACGAGTCAACTCCTGTATTTCTGTTTCAGCACTTGGTACCAGGACACATCTATGGCCCAAACATTCAGATTGTCAGTATTTTTTAAAGACCATTGACAGTAACAGCCAAAGGGCAGATTACTGTTTGTGCATACCACTGGAGCAATTCAGTGATAATTTTGTCCTCTTCAGCTGCTTTTGAAACGGCTGAATTTAAAGGAAAAAGTAAAGATGACACAAAAAGCCACCTTGCTGAATGCATGCTACATTTTTTGGCGTTTTCATGGGATTTTACTGGTAGTTCAGCCCTGCAGCCTCAAATTCCCAGGTTCAGATGGACAAGCGGATGCAAGTATGAGAACCTGTTCAACGCACAGCCCATAAAGCGGCACAGTCCCATCCCTTCCAATCATTACAGGGCACAATGCCTGTGGACTACCGACTACTGGCCTCTGGAGGTGCCGGCTTCCCCCCGCGCAGGGTCGCTCTGGTTGCCGGATCACAGAGCACCAGCAAGCCTTCTTCCACCTGGGCAACCTGCGTCCCTGGCTTGGGAACCCCAAACCCCCCGCAGAAGCCGAAGGTCTTGTGAGCATTCCACAGGAGCCCCGGGGCGCAAGGACCACCCCTCCCCAACGGGCACAGGAGGCCACTGGCGCCGCCTTCCCACCACTAGCCCAGAGACCGGGGAGGAGGCCGCCCTTCTTCGCAGGCGGCCTCCACTTGGTGCTCAATGAAGCCGGCAGAGTCGGGTCCCAGCCGGGGCCCGCTGCGCGGAAGGCGGCCTTGGCAACGGGGTGGCACCGGCTGGGAAAGGGGGCCTGGACCTGCCTCTGGCGGAGGGAGCTGCGAGCCCAGGAGGTCTTGCCGGCGGTCTCTCGGGCGCTCCGGGTGGGGGACTGGCCGTGGCGCCCACCCCCCTCGCGAGCGTCCTGGGGAGAGGCGGTGCCGTGGAGGCGGGCTGGGGGGGGGGGGGGGGCTCACCCTTGAGGGCGCCGATGAGCGCGTTGCCGTCGCGGATGACCTCCTTGAGGAACTTGTTGGTGCGCTCCAGCTCCTGCTCGTAGCACTTGAGCCGCTCGCGGAAGTCCGGGCTGTCCAGGTAGCAGGCGCTGAACTCCAGCGGGGGGTGCCCCATGGCGAGCGGGAGGGCGAGGGGGGACCACGACGACGACGAGGAGGAGGAGGAGGAGGAGCCCCTGCCCGCGCCGCTGCACAGCCGGCCGCGCCTCGCAGCATCAGCGGGGAGGACTCCGCAGCAACGCCGCGACGACGACGCCGCGCCGGCCCCGCCGGGCAGCTCCCTCCATCCCTCGGCGCCCGCCCGCCCGCCCGCCTTCCCCGGCAGCTGCTCGCCGGCCTCCCCAGCGACGGGACGGGATTGGGAACCGCTCGAGCTCCGCCGCCGCCGCCGCCGCCGCC